ATCCATTTTAAATAAGGTACCTTGGGACAATCCTCAGTAGAGAACTAAGTAAACACTTCAGGTTTATTTATTTCTTTTCAAACTGAGCAACTGGTCTCTCTTCAGACAATCACACTATCAAATATTGATCAGGGCATGCAGATTAATAATAGGATACAGATGAGTTTAAACAGCTGGTTACTGCTTCAGTACCAGTGCCTTGCTGTTAACCTCCCCACTTTGCTGGGAGCTGATGCAAGCATGCAGACTTGCTGGCTGGAACTTGCAGAACTGAGCTTGTGACCCTGAATGCAGACAAAAGCACCTCAGATAATCTTTAATTTTCATCTATTCCTCTGAATCTGCAGTATGAGGTAGGCTGCCCAGGGAAGCAGTTGAGTCACCATCCCTGCAACTATTCAAAAGACATGTAGATGTGGTGTTTAGGGACATGGTTTAGTGGTGGACAGGGTAGTGCTTGGTTAACAGTTGAGCTCTGTGATCTTAAAGGTCCTTTCCAGGCTAAATGATTCTATGATCCCAGCAAATTTAATTCTTGTAATACAATTATGAAAAAGACAACAGAAAAGTATCTGAAATTTGAGTACACCTGTCTGTAAAAATTGTTGGGTGGTGAAGGACAGAAATCAGAAGAGAATGTGTTTATGCTACAGAGCCCTTTGTTTGCTCTGGTAAATGACAGCTGTTATATATGAAGTTCAAAATGCATCTTTTACCATAAAATTCTACAATAAGTTTGTTTGCAGGGAGTGATGGCATTAAGAGCACAGATCTAGCTGCTTTGTGAATAAATAAAAAAAAGGATTTCACATGTTGCATCCATCAAGTTACATCTATTTATTTATCCATGAACTTAATTTAGAATTCCATAACTTAACAGGAATGACAAGGACATCTTTTTTTGGAAAGAGAAATTAATATGAATTTTTAAAAAGCTAGTTTTCTAACTTGCAAAGCATCTGTAAGGTCAAATCAGCTGTTTCACAAGCCTAGTGTCTCAAGCCATGAAGTATAACAGGCAGATGCACCCTGAAGGGAAAAGTTGTTAGGGTGAAAGCAGCCTTATAGTTGGAAAATGTTAAATAAGCATACAAGACAATAAACCATAGTTTATGTTAAGAACCCATTGAGATGTAGCTAAAAAAATACTAAGGTAAAAGGTACTAGTTAGTGATGGATAGGTGGCATGCTGGTTAATATTCTTCTCAGACATGATTCAAACCAACAGCTTTTGTTTGTTTGTCTTCCCTTAAGCCATCACATTCTGCTATAGCACACACAAGTAACTTAAAGGAAAACAGCCTTTTAGTTCTAAATATTTTGCACTTTTTTTGTAGCTATAAACACTACTAGGAGAAGCAGGAAAAGTACCTGTGAGCAGGAACACTACCAAAGCCTCTCTCAGGCATCTTGGAGCTCAGACTTAGCTCTCTCTCCTCTGATTTTACAGAAGGTACAAGGACTCAGAACAAGATGAAAGAAAAGGGGTTTTTTTGGTTTTTTTTTTTGGCCTACAAGAGGGCCTATAAATACCTGATGAGGCTGTAGACACACATTCTTCTCAGAGATGCCCAATGATAGGATTAGAGACAAAGTGAAAAATTAAATGCAGGAAATTCCTCTTAACTTTATTACAATGAAGGTGGTCAAACACTGGAACTGGACATGGCCATGAGCACTGTGCTTAAGGTCTTGGTGTCTAGAGTCGTTTCTCATTTTCTCACTCCTCTCTCTGGCTGAAGTTGCTGGTGTGGTTTTGATTTGGTGTGTCACCCCCCCCCTCCTTTCTTAAATATGTTAGGATAGAGGCTCTACCACTATTGCTGATGGACTCAACCTTGGCCAGCAGCGGGTCTGTTTTGTAACCAGCTGGCATTGGCTCCATCATATATAGGGGAAGCTTCTAGCAGCTCCTCACAGAATCTACCCCTATAGACATCAGTTGATGGAAACATGCCAGGAAAGACATTTTACTGAAAACTGATTCAGATTTTTTTAACTCAAGCTTTCAATCTCAGAACTGTCTCTTAAATATATGAAGTTATGTACTTACTCATTTAAGACTGACATTATTTCAGATTGCGAGAGAGTGGAATAAAATAGCATCTGATTGAAATGAATTATCACTTTACTATATATCCTGGACATGTAAAACTAATGTTTGACACTTCCTGCTCATTTATTAGCCTGAAGTGAAATTGAGTCTGTCTAAACTTCCATATCTCTTTCCAAATCAATGTTCTTGTGTTAATTAGGACAGGGCTTCATCACTAGTTTAACTGACCTAAACACTCCTCCACAAACTACAATCTCATTCTCCTCTACCAGGAAGAGGCTCCCATTCTCTTCCTTGGGCTAAAATGCCAGTCTTCTCTTACAGTTTTCACCTTCTGGCTGGATTGGATTTCCTGATCCGCTCCAGTCTCAAGCATAGTGACGCCCCCCCTAAAGGAACAGGAGTGAAAACACAGTTTGTAGTATGAAGGAAGACTAGCCATCTATTAAAGCTCATTTTTTCTTTCCCCAGAAAGGTAAGAGAAAAAAGAAAGACTCCATCAACACAGGTACAAGTCAGTTTTTATACTACTACTAGACTTCATAAGTATCAGTCTGCTCTGCAATACAATCTGCACAGTCATTTTACACCTTTATGTTTTTATTCTTTTAGGTGGTAATTCCTGAACCTCACCCTGCCTCAGCTTCTCCAGTCAGTGATAGATAACCCATATCAAAACCAGTATACTTCACCACAGTTTGAGAGTCATGGCCATTCTACATTCACGTAGAGCTTTAGAAGAACACAAGCTACATACAAAACAAGGAAAGTGATTAAACATAGCAGCAAAGAGCTCTTCAAGTAGAAATTTAGACATTCTTGAAACTAATCTACATAGGATTTACATTGTCACTGACAAGACCCAGCCGAGATTCATGCATTCAGGTAGATTCCCAGATCTTCAGAGGTTCTTTTTCATTCTGTCGAATCTGAAAACTCAAACCAAGAAAAAGCACAATAGCTGTTTGGAGGAAAAAAAAAAAAAAAAAAAGTACTTCCACTGGCAGGTTCCCCAGAAAAGTAGGTATTGAAGGAACTTGCATTTGAATATAGACCAACCTTCTATGCCATTCTAGAAGCAGCCCTTTTTTTATCCCCTCCATTAGTGACAAGCTTCATGTTATGTTGCATAGGCTCAGTAAACTTATAGTTGCAGCCAAGTGGACTCTACTGGTTGATAAGATTTATCATGTTTTGATCTAATCAAGAAGCATCAAATAAACAGGCTATACACATGTTCCACTAGCTAGTTACTGGATTTGTACAGATAGGATTAAAGTTTAGAAAAAGGCAGTACACTGGAGATAAAAGGCTTATTAAAAGTGAGTTTACAGTGTAAACGGAGTTGTTCTTCAAGTGACTGAATAGGAAGATTATGGTAGCTGTAGGTTAGCTAGAAAGGTTAACAACTCAAACGAGTAAGCAAGGAACACAGATGGGGTGCAACTTCCTTTCTGAAGTGCTACAGGCTTTCAAGAAAAAAAAAATAAAATGGCAACCAAGCTTTAAGTGTCCAATAAATCTGCACAAGCGTAATGGGTACATTCTTTACAGTGGTGCATGGGAGGAGGATAAGAGAACATGGAAATAAGTTAAACAGGTTCAGACTGGATAAACTCTCGTGGGAAAGTCAGGCATTGAAACAACTTTCCTAGAGCAATGGAGTCTCCATTGCTGACGATTTAAGACCAGACCACATGAAAGCCTAAGCACCCTGGTATGACCCTCCTTGGAAAAGGATATTGGCTTAGAAGGCTTCCTAAGATAATTCAGATTAAAGGCTTCTTATGAACCTATGCTAGTTTAACCCATTTTTAGCTTATGCCAAGCTTTGCAGTGATAATTTAAAACAATCCTTTAATACAGCAGCTACTAGAAGACAAGCTGTTTTCAAATGTCAGTGAAAGCATTTTGTCTAGGATGGGACATGTGATGATTAACATTTTCAAAAGCATACACCAACAAAATACGTAAGATGCCCAAATATATTTATTTGCCTCTTTAAAAAGTATATTACTCTTTAGAAAAAGACAGCCTAGGAAATCTCAAAACATATTAAAGCATATCCAATTTAGCACATACCTCATGCTGATGTTTAAGTAAAAATCAGCACTATCAGACCAAGCAAGATAAGATTTCTGAAGTCAGTAGCAGTGAGGCACCAGGACAGAAGAAACTCTTAAAATAAAAAGGAGCTTCAAAGCCTTTCAGCCAAGCAGAGCCAGAGTTCTAGAATGTATTCAAGAACCATGAAATCTCTCTAATCCTTTTGATCTTCATTTGCTGCCAAAAATACATGTGAGTTATAACAAGAAAATGCAAGCAACCCAGCATATAGAGTTACAAACTGGCAAGCCAGTTCACCAGTTCCAAATAGTCATAAGAGTTCAGCACTGTTCTAAAACTGAAAAAAAAGACAGACCTTGGAGGAGGGGTTGGTAGGCTAGCAAGAACCACTAAAGTTCATTATCACAGGACAACAAAGCATTTAGTTTTTTGCACTCTTGGTAAAGTCTTGAGTGTTAGTGCATGAAAAAGTTACTGGATGTGCATACGGGTGAGGTTACCATAACTATGTGCCATCAGTACATAGGATTCATTAATGAATTTCTTATTGAAAGTATTAGCTGAAACTATTCTGCCTTAAATGGCTGGAGATGTATTTTTGTTAGTATCTCTATAAACACACCTTTCCCCTGTTAAGTACAACTGTTTACCCATTTTGGTCTCTTTCTCAGTGGTAAAAGCCATCTACTTCACTCAGTCCTAGTGAACACTCTAGGGAGGTATCTGTCATTGGCCCTTTCAAGACTTCTGGGATGTCTTGATCCAGGAGAACTAGCAATGAGAGATCCCTATGGTGGGGGATAATAAATAGTGACAAGTGTGTAGGTGAGAAGGCTAAAGTGGGACATTACTGGTGACAAAGGAAAAGACTACTTTAAAGGTACAAGTCTCTGTTCAGCTAAAACCATGAGGAGTGAGTCCTATTTGGAATGTAGCATATGTCCTAAAAGCCAATTAGACAATGAAGTTGACTAGACACTGAATGTTGTCTTTGTTCCTTTTTAGGAGTGTAAGCACTACCTTATGTTCTCAAGTAAGAAGACATTAATTGGATTTAGATGCAGACACTCAAGAAAGTGGAGTGATAACTCACAAGATACTCCATTTCCTGCTAAACAAGAATATGTAAACACCCACAAGAATCACCTATTCAGATAATACCAGATACCCCATATGGATTGTCGCAATGCAGCACCATAGCAGCAGTTTGATTTAAGGAACAGTCTTGCTGCTCATCCCATCACATTTACTGAGCAGTGGTAGCATTAGCAGCACTGTGATTTACTCTCTGCTTTCAATGGGTCTAGGTCCACTTTTGGTTTCCCCACATCATTCTCTTCATTGGGAAAAGTTTTGTAGTTGGTGAGGATGTTTTCCACCAAGAATCGAGCAGCTTCCTCTATGTTGATGTTGTCCTAAAAACATTGAAAGCAAAGAAGTCAGTGATTTTTTGGAAGAGTCACGCATCCCTATTAGAAGGGGGTCAGATAAATAAAACTTTTGTACAGTCTCATCAGCATGACACAAACAGCCTAGATGCATCAGCTCCTTGCTCATACACTTGCTTTTTGAAAAAAAGTTACTAGAAAGGTTTGAGACAAGGTTATTCACCCATATGACTAACAGGAAATGTTGACTCTAATCTAATAGGCAGTCAGTGGATAAGTGCCATCTGCATTTGGAAGACAAATGCCAAAGTGCCTTTCTGCATCAGGAAATATACACTAGCTTGTTCACATCCAGAGCCTTACCATTTCCTGTGTGCAACAGTAACAACAGAAGCTGCAATTTAAAAACCTATATCTAAAGATAACTTGTATCTTTTGGATAGTTTCATCAGCATTTGGTAGTATTAACATTTAAAGAGTGGCTCTGATCCTGATGCATGCAAGATGACAAAAGTTTAAAACTCAATTAGTCAAGGTTTACAGTTCATTTTAACATTCTCTGAATTTAAGATGCAGTTCTAATCTAAATCAAACATCCTCCTCAGGGGTAAGCTGGCCTGCAGAGCAGTTCCAGGTTTTGCTGAACACTGCAGACTTGGCTGCCACTTCCAATACTTCCTAAGTTTATTCCCCACATGACTATATTCACCTATTCTTGTGCTAATATGTAGAAGAGTTAAAACACTTCTTATTTATGCTTACCTTGGCAGATGTTTCAAACCATCCAACAAAGCCACCTTCTCTGCAGAACTGGTCCATCTGAGAGGGATTCTGGTTGCCATCTTTCTTCTGGTCACACTTGTTCGCAAGAAGAACAGCAGGGATGGGGTTGCCATTGGGAAGTAGCACTTTACTGTCCAAATCACTCTTCCATTTGGAAACAGCCTCAAAAGTGGAGCCTCTTGTAACATCAAAGACCACAAAAGCACCAACTGCCTCTTTGTAGTATACTCTCGTCATATTTCCAAAGCGCTCCTGGCCTGAAAGAGGAGACAGTGACACAGAATATTTATATTTAAGCATGAACTGTTGTCAATGGAAATGGACTTCTGTACCAGGTCAGTACATGCGAGTCTGGCATTCAGGACTAGTCATCTAGTTCATACAATATTGCCTCTCCTATCCTGTGTAAGCTCATTGTAACAGCTATTATGTATATTATACACAGCAAGTCAGATGCTGAAAGCAATCCCAACTACCACTTAATTTTTAAACTTAATGGTTGAGTAGTGTTCTGAGAAGTAATGCCTAAAAACATTAGCAGCACAGCTATACACAAATCATTCTTTCAACAACAACAAAAAAAAAAAACTTTTGCAAGATTTATATGTAAATCTAGTTACTTTAGCTAGACTTAAGCAAATTCAGTCTTTTTCTGAAGGGAGAGCAACAGCCATTTCTACAAGCTCCAAGGCCAACAGCTTTCAAAGCATCTTCTGAAGAAGTCACCTGTATTATAGATGTTTCCATAGGAACAAGGTTAAAAGCAGCTAGTTTAATAGTTCTAGCTAAATCTCTTAGGTCCAACTTCATCTTTTATATCTAAGCCCTTCTCTGGAATACTTTCCAACTACAGGAGCTCTATTGCAATCCCAGGACTTGAAACAAGATGGTCAGAATAGTTAAAGTACAAATAGCCACAACAAAAATGAAAAAGAAAACCAAAGATAAGCAAGACCAGTAAACTCAAAAAGCTTTTGCTTATTAAGAACAACTATTGTAGTCAGTTTATTTGAAATGTAGAGTAAGAGTGCCAGTTCAGTTATTCTTTTTGAAAGGTCAGACCATCATGCTGTGTTTGTACTTGAGTGCACATAGCAGTGTTAAGTGCTAGCATGTTGCTTGGGAAGTCTGAGCCACTAAAATTGCTTTCTACTTTGTTCAGAAGTCCTCACCGGGAAAAGTACTCCCTGCACTTCATAATTTAGTTTCACAGCATATCACTTCAATTTTTAGAATTTAGTGTATACACATTTTTAGAATAGCTAAAGTAAGCATTTTAATTGGAAACATGGTTGTCCTCTGTTAATAAACATTCAAGTCCACCTTTGATTAGCAAGGACAAACAGTTACAAGGAGAACTGGGTATTATCATCTTCTCAGAAAGAGACAGAAATTCCTTAGGTGACAGAACTTGACAAGGGATCCTGTTCAACAGCATGAATTTCTAACTCCATTGCCTCATTTTGATGTCAGTACTTCAGTGCACCAATGAGCTCCTTCCCTATAGGCATTTTCAGGAAAGGTTGACTAATCAGCTATTAAAATTGCCTGAAAGCAGCAGCAGCTACAGTTAAGTTCCAGAGAACTACAAAGCTCTATGCAGCTGACTTTGTTCCTAGCTCTTCAGCTTTAAAGTATGCTGCTGCATAAAACAGCATCACTAGCCAGCATGTTCTGAGTAGTGGAAACAACACATTAACTTCTTCACTACCAGCTCATTGTCCCTTGTGTGAGAACACTGAGCACGCAAATGGAAAGCTGTTCCCTACATATTCAAAGCTCAAGTTCTGCAGCAGCATTTATGCCATAGACTCTAAGGCAAACAAGCCAGATGCCAAGACTGCATCGTGCTAACTATGTCTCTGGAAGAGAGAAATTGCTGGTAAGTTGTGTACACTGTTTAGCACAGTCATGTACAAGTAGCTCACACCATTTCCCTAGGCCTCTCCAGGTTGGATTCTTATGCCTTAAAGGTGGCTTTGGTACAACCTTACTACAAATTGTTGCACCACGTGCCCACCTTTTTCATGAATCAAACCCTGTTAGGAAAGGCCTTGGCCAGAAGGCTTTTACTACTTCTGCAGATCAATTGTGTCATATCTAAAGCAGCTTTACCTTTAGACTGTGGAGATTTTGCTTTTAAATGGGGCTTCACAGGTTTAAATTTATTTATATAACTATATTTATATAAACCAGTCACTGCATATGACACCATCTAAGCTATGAAGAGCTCCTGATCAGCTTCCTCATTTGTTTAGGCTGCCAGTCTCACCATTGATTCCTGCTACACATGAAAATCTCCAAATATGCTAAAAAAACCAAGTCTTGTGTCCAATTCAGGGCATATCCTTCACACCATTGGATAGGCCCACAAAATAAACAGTGTAATCCCTATACAGTGCTCTATTGCAACATAAGACTGCCAACCTTAGTCTTCTACAGAAAGATTTTTTCATTTTGGCCCCAAAATTGTCTAGAAATGACCACCACTTTGTTGTTTACATGAGACTGCACATGAATAGCAGTGAGGAACACAGTCCGATTACTCCTCCCTGTTCAGTTGCTGGAGATCTATAGAGAATTCAGTCTTTTTAATTAGGGCTATAAGTTTTTCCAGAAACTTGATGGATGTTTACATAAGAAAATTAAGTTGTATCGATTAGTTGCAGAAAGGGTTGCTAGACTTACCAGCAAGGAATAGAAAGAACATAATCACTACATATAAAAACAGTTACCTGGGAATTGCAGAAAGGGTTATCATGTCATTATTTCTGTGCATGGCTGTGATCATGTAACCCAGTAAAGGACATTTACTGAATTCCTTCCTGTCTACTGCTCTCACATCCAAGAAAGCTTTAAATATAAAGAACATTTAGCAGGAAGGCCATACTAGCCTCCTATAGCAATAACCCTCGTTGGAACCCCCACAACAAGGTGCATTTCAGATGTATGAAAGAGACTGAATTAGTACAGCATCACATACAGCTTTCCAAGAAACAAAACAAAGTTACAGTTTATGTAACATAACCAAACTTAAACAGTCCTAAACACCACCAAGTGTTTTTCCTTAAAGAAATAACACAGGGCCTAGCCAATCAGAAAGTCTGATCATCACTCAGGTAAGTTTGTCAATTCCATCTCTAAGAGAATACCCATCATCTTACCATAGTTAGTCTTACCTACCCACCTGGCCAAATGCCTTCATATACAAGGAGCTGGAGAGCTGCACTGACTGGTAATGAACCAGATTGCCCGGCAGCTGTTTTGTTGACACTTGGTTTCTCGTGCCCCAGTATCCCCCAGCCTACATGAAGCTTTAAAACCATGCAACCCCTCAGTAGATCAGCTATACCAGAAAGGAACAGTTGTAGCAGAGAAGCAGACTAGCTGAACCCCCTCATGAGGTCCTGACCAGGAGAGAGGCCACTGCAGATGGGGTTGTGCTAACTGGCAGATTCAGGAACTCTGGAATAATACACAAAGCAAGGTTTGTGCAGTAGCTTCTCTCATTGTTTGAGAAGATAGCAGTACTGGTAAGAACATAAGCCTGCACTGAACTGTACTTGGTACCCTATAGCTGCCACTAAAAAGCAGAAGCTGCAGCTGTCCAGAACAACCATTAAAGTATTATTTCTAGCTGGCTTTACTTATAGAAGCCAAAATTTTTGTTCTTATGAATTTTAGATTTGGAAAACCATTAATACATATTCTTCTATAATTTTAATTTGGGTAAAAGATGAAAATTGATGTGCATATCAGCATAAAACACTTCTATCTTATTAGATTAAAGCTTTACATTAGGAGGATTTGATGCATCTTACCCCTAAAAAACACATAAGCTTAACACCACTCTAGTATTAGAGATTAATACCTTTTAACGGATTAAATACACTCTAGTATGAGTGCTGCCCTTTTCTAAAGTAGCCCAAACACCAATACAGGGATTTTTTTTTTCCCCCCTGTGGAGCTGCTTTTGCCTCTAGAATTCCTGCCCACTAACAATAAACCTGACCTGCACACCGCCTTACGACTGGTTTTTTCACGAAGACTAAACAAGGTTGAATATATTCTTTTCATTCCACAGAAAGAAGACAGAGCAATAACACATGACCTGTCTAAGAGAAAAGAATTTTGTTATGGTAAAAGGTATATGGCATGAGACAGGAAGAAAATTCAGTATAATCTAAGAGGACTTCCTTTACAATCCTGTTACTACTGATAATGAACATGCTGAACTTCTTGTAGTGGATGCAGAACATTCCAGACAGCCTTTTCCAAATTTAATAGGAGTTTCAGGCAAATATTTGCAAGTGTTTTTTTGCTTGCAAAAAAACCCACACAGAAAAAGCTAATTGTAGAACACATTACCACTCAGAAGTCTGAAGTCTGAATATCATTCTCTGTTTAAGCTATTAAAACTAAATCAATCGATTTTTGCTATATTCAGTTCAGTCAGGGATTTGTTATTTCCCTTCCTATGTTCAGCAGAACTTTTGCTGTAATCAGTTTACCATGTGTGAGAATAGTGTTGAGCAATGCCAAAAGTGGCTCAAACCCCAAAAGGGAAAAAAGGGTAAAAGTGATCAGATGAAACTAGACTTCAAATCTCCAGTGTGTAAAAATGTGGAAGGAAGAGAACAATTAGATATCTAGTTGCTTACTACAAGAGTATGGAAAGCACACAACAGGATTAATCATTCTGGTAGGTGTAGTGCCTTGATGTAAACCTGATGGTACCACAAAGGTATATTTCTTTTTTTCTGTGTTTCAAGGGCTCAGATGTACATGAGGAGCTAAGCTACAGGGCAGTAGGGATCAGAGCTTTTGTTCAGGGGTATGGAAGTGGCTGCATGCAATGCAAAGTTCTGCATTTGCTAACCACAGTGTTTTCACATCTAAATGACTTAGCACACTGACACCATGTTTTCCAGTAATTGCAACAACATGAAATGAAATACTTGTGTAATGTCATGCATCAGGAACTAGTACAGATCCCTACAGCAGCATCACTGGAATTAAGTTTAGTTTAAATCTGCATATCCAGAGTTTGGAAGCTATTCCTGCATTGTAATAGAGGTAAAGTATAAGCTAAAATCTACATGAAAAAAATTATATCAAGGTCTGACATTAGAAGCTTTATCTTTGTCCTTTACTTTACTGCAAAGGATAAGTTATGGTGATAAGATTGTGATGTGCCAACCTTGCCCTGAAGTACATTTTCAAGAGCTTCTACAGCAATCTTTCCCAGCGTAAAGAA